AGCATTCACTCTTCAGTTCAGCAACGCAACAATTTACTGATATATTAAAGCACATGGCAGTGGTTTCAGAACTCAGAAACTACAAGAGATTAAGAAAGGAAGGAAGGTAGCGAAATACGAATCTATAATATTAATCGGTTATACTCGTAATTAATTTCACTAGTACACCCGCCATCTAAAAACGTCTGGAATTCGGCAACAAATCAGAAAAATCAAAAGACCAGAAAAAAATCAGGAAAATGTTCAAATTTCAGAAATTTTCCTGGCTTTTCAGAAGATCTAACAAGTCTGATTTTAACTTTAAGTTTGAGTGAACATGAGTTCGATTTTATTGGGAAAACACTAACCATGTAAACTTAGAGACGGAGAGATCAAAAAGAAGAGAAATAAGAAAGCACACACGATCATAAAACATGATTAAATTTTTTAAATAACTGCCTTCTTCTTGTTTTTATTCACAACCGAAAAAAAAGAGATCATTATCGTCATCTCGATGACGAACATTCGACATCTAATAATAGCAGAATTATTCAATAGAGTACGCTTTTATCAACAATATCAAAACGGGATTATACGTTATATCAAGTTAGTATATAGTGATTTTTATATAAGAAAAGTTCGATATATGCATCATTAACAGATAAACAAATGTTAAACGTGTTTTGCATCAATGATATATCTCAATACTTTTAAGATATTGTTATCATAATATATAGAACACATTTTGAAAGATTTACGGTTATGTTTTATTAAATATGAATTTGACTATATGTTTTCACAACTGTAGATTATTCTACTTAGGGCAATCCGAAAATAGTGGCGCCATTACCAAATTTCTTTATAGAAAGCCTAAAAAATTTTCTTTTTTTATGGAAAGATAGAGCGTCTTTCACTCTATTTTTCTATGCTATTTGATCACTATTTAACTGATATCATAATAATAAAATTTCGATAAGAACTGTTTTTGTTGAAAACTAGCTGGTGGCATTTGGATCACAATGGGTGTGGCATAAAAAAATGGAGCACTTTTGCATTTCATTTTATTATCACTTAATAGGTTGTATTAAAAAACAAAATATACCACAAGATGCAGCGTGAAAAGCTCTACAATTTAGAGAGGATCGCTTATTTTATAGTTGCACTTTTTATTTTCAAAATAGACAAAACTCTGAGCGACCAATTTTCGACATTGCGAAAGCGGGATTGTTTTTTGGGAAAAGACGAATTCGCTCTTTTTCTATCGCATCTTTCTATAGTTGTTCTTTGTAAATTGTAGAGCTTTTCACGCTGCGTCTTGTAGTGTATTTCATCTTTTCTAATAAAGTAGATTAGGTAATAAAAAGCTGAGATAAGAAAAAACGAATTCGTCTGTTACCAAAAAAATCATCCTGTTTTCGCAACGTCGAAATTTGGTCGCTCAGAGTTTTGTCTATTTTGAAAATAAAAAGTGCAACTATAAAATAAGCGATCCTTTCTAAATTGTAGAGCTTTTCACGCTGCATCTTGTGGTATATTTTGTTTTTTAATACAATCGATTAAGTGATAATAAAATGAAATGCAAAAATGTTCCACCCATTATGATCGAATACCACCAACTAGTTTTCAACAAAAAACAGTTTTTACCGAAATTTGATTATTATGATATCACTTGAATAGTGATCAAATAGCATAGAAAAATAGAGTGAAAGACGCTCTATCTTTTCATAAAGAAAGAAAATTTTTTCAACCTTTCTATAAAGAAATTTGGTAATGGCGCCACTACTTTTGGATTACCCTAAGTACTTTGTGCATTCTTCAAACTATCTTTATTTTAATAGTTTTAGACATAGATAGTTCATTTAAAATTAATAAAAATTTGATTTACATATTTTATATTCGTAAAACTATGATAACGACTTTGAAAAGAGTCTAGTTTTGCAGAAAGCCCTATTATAATGAAAGCAATTGTTGTTTCTATTTGATGATGAGATGCTTTAATCAAATATAGGAAGCAAACATTATTGTTAACACCTTTTTAGACATTGACATGTCTTGTGAGGACTAGTCGAGCAAGGATGGAGTGTGTGGGTGAGAAATAGAAGACTGATATCCTACTGAACATACTCATTTTTAAGTATCAAAATAGACTTTTTATACCAAATTAAAGCATGTCAAAAATGGGATTTATCAGTATTAAATAGTAAGGGTTATAGTCAGTTCTCAGTGTCAAATTGAAAGAATTTCTGAATTTTACATCACGTCAACATAGAAAAATCCTTGTCATGAGGTAATTCAAACTAGATCTCATTCAAAATGATGATTATCACAAAGTAATCGACACCTGGCCTGAAAACATGGAAACAAAGAATTAAAAATAAAGTTTAAAAAATGCTGTCAAAGATAGAACATAATCGTTATCACGAAGAAACTGAAAAAAAACCATATTCTATATGATTTGACAAAAATGGAAACAAACATTTTGAATTATGAGAAACTTTCTTATGCTCGTATGCATTTCGTCTCGATCCTGTAAAGAACGCTAATAATCGCCATACTGATTAATGAATATATTCACCAAATCTTGAAAAAAAAAATAGTACTTTGTGATAATCATCATTTTGAATGAGATCTGGTTTAAACAACCACACGAGAAGGATTTTTCTATATTGACATGATGTAAAATTCAGAAATTCTTTCAATTTGACACGAGGAACTTACCACAATCCTTACTATTTAATACTGATAAATCCCATTTTGACACGCTTGAATTTGATATAAAATTTTTTGTTGATGCTATTTGAAAGTACGATGTTGCCATCTTGAAAAAATATAATTCCCAACATAGTACATTATGTACATTTGTATTTTTTGATACCATTAGATGGCATCTGAGCTTAGCTAAGCCTGCGAAACATTTCGAATTCCGGCTTGGAGTTATCAACATTGCACAGATAATAAAAACTCTTAGTATCTATCGAATTGATGAAAATTTACTATTGTTACTGAAATTTGTTGTTAAATTTATATTTAATCTTACTCTAATTACATATTATGCAAAAGTACATTCCATAATTCAATTTCTTCACATAGCAAAATCGCTGGGAAACTATGTCGTGTTTCACCGAGCATTTTATTTACATATAATAGATTTCGATATTTAACATCATCTGTATATAAGAGCTTTGCCTATTGTATTCGTTTATATTTATATCAAATATTCACTGTTATCTACAGCTTGCAATGTATGAGCTCTATCTTCTCTACAAATCTTTGATAAAGAATAAAAACTTTGATATTTTATGCTCGTTTTTTTCCTGCATAACTATAACAAAATGCATTACTATTGTACGTTTCAAAATATAGTGTACTTCACTGTTTTTTGAATAACTTAAGAACACAAACAACTAGAGACCTGGGGTTTGCATCAATCAAAATAGAAAAAAGAGGAATATCTTTTTCTTCAGTATTCTATAAGACGAAATCATTTTAAAATCCGTCATTTCTGCTAAATATCGAGAAAATATGTAAAAACGATCTGTTATTCAGATGAAATTTTGACAAAAAGTAAGATAATTTGCTTAAAAAATACAACAAATCTATGACTGAGAGTGGGTATGTCTTCTCTTCTATCACAGTCTCAGCCACATCTACGTCCTACATCCGCACCCATTTATGACAGTGAGCAATTGACTATATGGAAGAGACAAGCTTCCAAAACATCTCATAAAGTTGTGAGAGAAATTAACACTTAAACAATAGTTTTCTTCAGTTCAATGTCAATCCGATGTTGAGTATCGATATTAATTAATGGACAAACAATGATTGTACTTGTAAGAATCATATGTGTTATTACAATACTATTCTAAACAAGAATAGCTGACGAATATGAATAAACATGGATATTGTAATGACAATATATGAATCATTTTGAGCAGCAATACTTATAGGTTCAAATTTTCAAATAAAAAACTTCTGATTTTATTTTTCTTTTTCAATAATAATGAAAAATTTATTTCAATGTTAAGTTGTCGATGTTTTTGACCATCGTCAGAACTTGATGTATATAACGAATAATGTAAATATGTGTAATTGACAACCATAACCGATGTTGTTGATATATCTTGAGCCATGATCACGATCATCGATAATATCATCATCTTGAGTATAGTCATTTGTGTTGCGTTAAAGCAATGAATTGTTTCTCTAAATCGAGAAAAATATTTATATCATGTCACGAGTTACTAATAATAAATCAAGTTAGATCAACAACATCCGCTATGGTTATGATTGTGAATTATATATATTTACATTAATCATTATACACATCAAAGTCTGACGATGGTCGAAAAGACCGAAAATTTAATTTTAAAAAAATTTTCATTATTATAGAAAAAGAAAAATAAAATCAAAAGTTTTTCATTTGAAAATTTGAATCTGTAATTATTATTGCTCAAAACGATCCATAAAGAATAGTTGGTTTACTTGCAAGCAAGGAACATAGGAATCCTGTTAACTTCGGTTTTTCAGAGTGATTAAATGTTGATGAAACTCATTCTTTTTTTTTAAATTGAATCAAAATATCAAAAACTGAATTTTTTTTTACAGTATTCTACCTTAGTGAAATCAGAAACATAGTCTTTTTGTGTGTTGTTTTGTTTTCAAAAATCGAAAAATAATCAAATATGTCTCTAATTTAATGAGAATAATAAATAAAATTGAAAGAAAATACTGATCGAGATCAAAAATACATCAGCTGTTATTAGCACTATGCTATGTCGAAAATTCATCTTTATCGGAAGAAAATATCAGACAAGATATCATTAATTCATTCTAAGCTGTTCAAATTCATTTCATACGTAGTGCAATTCGATTTCATTCATCGAACAGTTTGTATACAATTGGAAATATTTTCTCTATAGAGTTTATTAAAACATACGTATTTAAGATAAAAGAAAAGATTACGATAAAGCGTGATTCAGTACTAACTAAAAATGAATAAATTGAAATAAAAAAAAAAAAAGTTACACATTGAGAAAAGCAAGTGTATTAAAAAGAATCATGGATATAGCAAAAAGAATTAGACAAAGACGATCAATGACTCTTGCTAAAAATTTCCATTCTTGAGATTCATCATCATCTTTCTCTCGCTGTCGAGAATAATTAGTAAGAATAGTAAGTTGAGAAATAATAATACGTAGCTCAGAACGAATCATTTCCATATCACATATCTTCAATTCTTTCGATGTATTCTGATGATGACGAAAACGGTGAGTTTTCGTTGCTGGAGGTGCAGGAAATTCTAATAGCGAATCTGAGCGTTGTTTTTCTTGATTTTCTAAGAATTCTAAAGGCTTCTTGTCAACATTTGTAACATTGGTCGATAACAACTCGAATGTGTTACTCAGCAATAGTTCAGAAGGAATCTTAGAATCATTATTATCAATTGATTCATTTATATTATTCGATTCTTGTTTTGGAAAAGTCCATCGCCGACGAATTGTATGCCAACTCAAATCATGATTAGGGCGCTTCATACATAATAGCCATGCCAAGTAGTTACAAAGATACTTATGAACCTAAAATGATTTCTAAAATCATGTGATTTATTCATTTTGCAATATGATTTACCCATAATGGCATTGTATAATTTTTAGAGTTTCGAAAATGAAGTGATAATACTAATACTGATGCAGCAACTGAAACCACTGACATGATCATAACACACATGAAATAAACGGTAATAATCGCTATAGCATTTGAACTTGGTGGCATAATTTCTGATATCAATAAACTGAACATAACAACAGTTAGAAGAGTTGTAATCTCTGTAGATTTAGAATATATAAGAACAAATTTTTTATTATCAAATTCTAACTCACGTAAGGTTATTTTATCATTACTATCTGGCGGTAATAAAAGTCCGAGTAGTGTCATGCAACTGATAAGAAAACAAGGTACTATGAAACGAAATGACAGTAGTATTAATTCAAAGATTAGAAAAAAAATATTGTAATTTATATTTTATTACCAACGATATTCATAATATAGTAAAGAGAACGTCGACGTATTCGGATAGTATATAGCACGTATGGATACACATTTGGACAACAATCGTATTTGGTTCTATTGTTCGTTGCAGAGAAATCTAAAACAGAACGAATAGAATAAAATGTATATAACCCGTATCGACTACCTTCTAGATCCCATTCGGCATTTTTGACGTATGCATCTACTTGACCTTTGTTACTTTCTGCTGTCAGATTGATTCCTAAGTAATAAAAAAGCATATAGCATGCAGAAATATTTGGCATTGCATCTTAGAAAAAAATGATTCAACCACATACCAGCATCATCATGTGTCCAAGATCCAAATTTCAGCGTACAATATTGTGTATCCAAAAAAAAGACAAACATCCAAGATAAAGGCACGACACGACTGGCATTTTTTTTTTATACTTACAAATGGAAATGCAGCAATATTAAATGGACAATTTGATTTGAATAATACAGGCGGAACATATAGTACGTTACCTTTATATTGCACAACGGCATTGACTTTCACTTTAGTATCAAATTTTTCATTGGCACTTAAAACAAAAAAAAACGAACATCACTTTTCAAGATACCTATTCTTTGAAAAATAATAACGTGTTGTATAGGAAAATGTCTGGTGTCCAAATTTGTGTACTTGGTATTCGTAGTGTTTGAATATTACCAAACTCTTCTGGTTTCCATCTTAAGCTATAATCATTCCACATCTAGACGGACATATGTGAACAATAAGATCAGATATTATAATTAGGCATGCAACGGTGACGATAAGCGATCCTTACCGATAACCATTACACGAGTAATCGATCCTTATTGGTACTAGGCCCATCAGTAGCCGGTATTAAGCTAATACCGGTTTATACCGATTTATATCGGCCTATGGCGGCTTAGTGTGTAGTCTAGTTTTCAAAATTTTGAATTTAATTTTTACATTAGGGAAAGGGTTTTTTTCGAAAGTACCAATTTCTTATAAATTTTAGCCGAAGGTAATCATGGTCGAGGAATCCAAATCTGTGATCGATTTTTCAAAATTTTGAGCTTGATTTTTTTTTGGTCAGGACAAGGCTTTTTTAACAGAAAAGATGTTTTTTTTTTTATCAAGTTGGTCCAAAGGCAAATTGGGGTAGGGAAATTCGGATCTATCATTGATTTCTCGAAGTTTAGTGTTTAATTTTTGCAAACATTTTGTTTTGCAAAAAACGTTTTAACCAAGTTTTAAAAAAATCATTTCTCTACAAAAAAAAAAGTTTTTACTACGAAAATGATTTTTTAGTGAAATAATAATTATTTTTATAGAAATACAATTTTTCGTAAAAGGAATTTTTTGCAAAAAATTAAACTCAGAACTTCTAAAAGTTGAGTACACCCTAAGTCGATATAGACCGATATGGGTAGGTATAAGCCGGTATAGATCTGTTTATGCTACTATAAACTGGTATTAGTCTAATATCAGTAAAAACCGGTTACCAATGAAAAAGTTACCGGTTTGAAACAGTCAACAGGTGACTCACCATCATTGTTGCATTCCTAATGATAACTAAGTATATATACGATAGTCATCCAGCCACTAATGACAATAGCTTCATTCTTTCCATCCTATTTATATTCCAAGATTGAAGAAAACATGAAAGACATGTATTTAATCTCACTTACAAAATGAATGATTTGTTGTAAAGACAAATTTATAGTGACAGGTAATGTGTGAGAGTCATTTTGAACAGGTCGTGCGATTAGTTTGTATTGATTATTAGTCAATAGATGTTTTAATAAACGAAGTTGATCAGGACCTCCAGCTAATATTCATCATGTTTTCGTTTTCGAAGAAATTCATTAACTCACTTATAAAATTGAAACAGTAACATGTGATTAGAAGAAATAATTTTAGTTGTTGTTGAATCCTATGAAACATTTTCTTTGAAGCTAAAAAAGAACAGATGTAGAATTTTTTATTTAATCACATTTTCTATTTGTCAAAATGTTGGCAAAAGAGTGCAGATAGTATAAGTAGTAGAATCCATCAGATCTACAATTTTGCGGTTTCGAACAATACTTCTAACGCTCTTAATAGAATTTTCATATTCGAATGTTATAGTCGCTTTGAAGATATGAGATACATTTTCGATTATTTTTATTCATTGACACACACGATACATTTCTGAGGTCACGTTAATGCTGATCTTATAATCACTACGTTATAATTGACTCTTACTCTTAAGCTAGAATCCGTCGAATCGATTTGCTGTCTGAAACCGGTTTGAATCTGAATCTACTAGATGAATTCTAGTAGGTAGGCATTTATATCTCTTTCAGTTAATAGATATTGATACAGAAAAAAATTTTCTCGTTTGAGTAGGGTTTATAAATTCTAATCTTTGAATCGATCTCTAGTGAGAAAATTCAAGAAAAAACTCAGAAGAAAACCAAAAAGCATCTTTACTTCTAGCTGAACACACACACTTGGTTTTTAAACTAATCTCAATTGTATATTTATAAAATCCATGAAAAATTAATAAACAGTTGATTCTATAGAAAGAAAAAGACATACGTTTTATGATAGAAAATATGATAAAGTCTTTCGATTAGTCCTACCTTTATAATGACTTTTTGTGTAGATCTGACAGAACGTATCGTTGATTTGAATTAATATAGAAAATATTTGCTCTTGAAACTAATTAAAATGTCCTTAACGATAAAAAATCGAAATTGAATGATAAATCGATAAATTTCAAAGTATAATCAATTATTTAAACATATTCGACTATAATAGAATATCTTACTTTAATATCTAATTATATGACAGAAATATTTCTGCATTAATATAAATCAAATTTTTATTACATTACATCCCCATTTGTTATTAATCATTTCGATAATCATCGAAGACAATAGTAACAATAGTTAATACCTGTTATGTCTAATGGAAAGTTATGACAAGAAAAAAGAGATCTAATAGTTACAAAACGACCTAAACATTAAACTCACGTGTAAAACCAAACAAATAAATAACGATTATCGAACATTATTTGCACGTGAAAACAATTGTACAGACAATCTTATTCCGCAGTATAAATGAAGAATGAGAAAGAAAGATAAACATTAAGTAATTAAAGGACGAATCGCACATTACCCTATCATGGTTGAATGACGGAATGCATGAATAGAAAAAAAGCCCATGTGATGATAAAGATAATCATACCTGAAGAAAACGATAGTCCGGTCTAAATTTTCTTACAGTTCATTGAACTTCATGTTTGGTATGCAGACTTTTTAAAGTAATCGACAGCCATCAAATACAAAACATTATTTTATTTCATTTTCGGTTTATTAGATGGCACTTGCGAATGATTATTTTATTACGTATATGGGAACTGGAAGACGACGAAGAGACGTATTTGATTAAATTATTGGGTTTTTTTTTGCAAATCTACTATGGTTGCATTCGGAAAATTTAATCCAATCGGAAAAATTTGTATAACTGTGTCTAATTTTTCATGAAACTATTTATCAATTATTCGAAATGAGATTATATATTGGTTTTTATTAATGTATGTAATTCTATTACAAATCTAAGTAATTTTGAAATATTAATAACGTTATAATCGATCAAAAATTCACCTAATATATCTTTTCTTTTTTATTATTAGAGTAAAATATTTCGGTTATGAATATCTCTTACTAATTATTCAATCATTAAACTTCATTGGTCTAGAATTCCGGTTAAAATTTTCTTTTTTTTTCAGTTTTGATGTTTTTTGCTCTTATGTATTTTTTTAACGCAATAAAAGATATTTATCATGTATTATGGATATGCTCATATGAAGGTCAAGATCTGGTACAATTAACCCTATTTTGAAAGGTAGTAGTTATTAACAAATAGACGTGATGAATCATTTTACGAATACGTGACACATATCTTAACAGGTGAGGCAAAAGTTCTGCATTAATTTTGTTTTTGATATAGCACTATAATGGAATGTCATAGTGTTACGGAGGCTCTCAACCGTAACTTGATTTGGTAAATATAAAGATCTTTCTGGTTGACCAACAGTTTAACAACTTCACTTCAAAATTACCCCTCCTTCTAAACTTTTTTATTCTTCAAAGTTTCTACTACTTATACATCTTCAACACCATTTAAGAGAACAGAAAAAAATATAAACAACGAGGAAGAGAAAATACGTAGGCAGAAGATGTGCAGACGAAGGGGGGAATAATAGATATTGCTGTCCCGCCTCGGACTAGGCTATATAATAATGAAGATGACGTCAGACATCTTCTTTTAAATACACTTCAATTTATAACAGGAGAAAAAGGTTGAGAATTTATTGAATTCTCAAGTGTGAAAAGGAACGCAGAACCGATAAGAAAAGGAAAGGAAAAGAAGATCGATCTATACGTACTAGAATGGATAATGCATACAATAGAATGAGGCATATACACACACAACAAAGAAAAAGAAAAAAAAGAACATATGAAATAACAATGGATACTGTTAGAATACTCTCTAACACTGTCCCCAAGCCCATTAAAATTGGGCGTAGCATGATTTATAAGAAAATTCCTTGAATACATATTAGAGGAAGAAAGAAAAACACATGTATACAAAAAATAACAGTAATATAAGTTACTAAATTCACAACAAGTTCTCTGAATACCATATAGGAAGAGAAAATACAAATATGGAAAAAAAATAACAATAACGTTAGTTACGAAGTTTACAAGAAATTCTGATAATATCATGTGAAGAAAAAAAGGGTGTGGGTGTGGGTGGGTG